CTCAGCAAAAATCTGCAAAAGGCTATAAGAACTGCTTTAATGCATTGACAGTTAACTGTTAGTAGTTAATAGTTGCGCTGTGCTGTTGTTACACAGCTTTTTTGCGAAAGCCATGCTTCAAACCAGTCGCCTCAGTCTGAGTCGCTGCTGCTGCTGCTGCTGGAGGACTGTGAAGACAGAAACAGGAAATTATACATCTATTAATAGTTTTAAAACAGTTAAAATATAGATTTTAAATTATAAACAATGCCTGATCTGCTTAAGCCATCTTCAACAGTGAACAAAGAAACACACGGTTTTAAAAGTCACCACCAACTGTTTGCTCTTTTCACTCAAAACTTAAAAATTAAACCATAAACCATAAATTTAAACCCCTTCTCACCTTGCCATGTTTGTAGTGCTTATGTTTGTGCGCCTTTTTCATCTTCTTGTGCATCTTTTTGTTTGCTTTGTGCCCAACTAGCCCCATTCCCATTCCTGCAACTCCCCCGGCTAAGGCTCCAGACATGGGATTTAGCCCTCCATGATGATAACCTTTGTGTTTGCCGCCTTTTGGGGAGTGTGGATATGGACCTGGGTGAACACCTGCAGGAGGAACAACTGGATATCCACCTGGAGCCATAGGATATGGGTGAAGTCCAGGAGCTCCATAAGGCATCGCTCCTGGTGCATAGTGTGGTCCCATGGCTGGATTCATAGGAGCTGGGAACTGGCCAGCAGCGTATGGAGGTGGAGGCTGAGGGAATGCTCCTGGAGGAGGTGCAGCAGGATAAGCAGGATTGTAGCCAGGAGCAAAGGCAGGATTTGGTGGGCCGACTGGAGGAGGAGGACCTGATACAAGTAAAAGCACACATCCATCTTGCACACTGTATGCTTCAAACTCCTAAGCTATTAAGCAGTTATAGACACACATAAAACATCATAATTAAATGGTAATCATGTTTGATGTCCTACCTTGATTTGGCCACATGGTTTATATATACACTGACCTAACAGAAAAAAGAGGAAAGACAAAGGAAATGCAGTTTAAAAATATTGGATTAAATTAAAATAACACTGTAAATATATCACTCAGTATATCTTGATTGAATTCGTGATTCTACCCAAATTAAACAAACAGCAGTTAACTTCAGTGGCTTCTTCATTTTTCCAGATCAAAACCAGATAGTCACTTTACAAAGACAGAACAAAGGGGAAAGCAGTCGGTGTTTACACTCAACAACAATGAGAAATATCTGGTGGGGTTTTTTTTGGTTGGTTGTTGACAAAGAGACATCAGAGCCAGAGGCAGTTACTCACCTGATCACCTCTAGCTGTCACGGTTTCTCATTTCACATTTTGTGTTTGGTGTACACACGGATGCACAAAGTAAGCCGTTTAATGCGAACACCTAAATAAAACTAAACCAAAGTAAACCCCTTCAATTGATCCTCTCTTTATGAAGGTCTTGATATCTGTCGTCTGTTTGTTTGTTTTTAAGTGTTTACCGTGGAAACGGTTACATTTTGTAGCACTTGTCAGTACAGAACAAGGCTAATCGCTGCTATAAACCTCAATACAACACACAACAAAGGCTTAAATGCCACATGTATACTCTTACAGAAGATGACCTAACAAAACATGAAGTCATAATTGCTCAACAGCTTGTAAATCCGCAACACTTTCTCCATGTTTCTCCACACAGCAAGTTCAGCACACTCAGTCAGCCGTTATTGGGAGTTTTAGCTGTTTGTCCCAAACGTGTCACTTATAATAACTACATCAAAATCTAAAGATTTTACAGGTTTTACCTTGGGAACTTACCTCGATGAAGTTTCAGGAATTCCGAAAGAGCAGTTTCGTGTTTGTCTTCCGCATCCAGCTCCCGGAAGGCTTAAAGAAGCACATCAGGAAGCCACGCCCTTTGGGAGGAACACTGCGCACTTTGTTTACGCAATGGCCCAGCACACATGGGAACATGGCTAAAACAGAAAACAATCTGAGTGATCTTTTTTTAATGGGTGGAGTCGGGAGTTAAGGTGTGTGTCGTGACACACACACGCCTGACTTGACACTATTGTTATTTTCACCTGTGACTCATGCCAACACATAAAACCCATGACATCACGGATCAGCACT